AAGTTCCAGTTAGTCTAACACGCACTTATCTGTAACACGTTTGTAGATCACTCTATGCATAGTAAAAATCCCACATGTTGATATACCATGATTTACCATGGAATCATTCCTCAGGTCTCTGAATTAATAAATTATTTAATTAATAATCTGATGTTTCATCCAGGACTCAAGTTTTGTATCTAATCCCCGAATACCCATGTGTTTCCGCAACCCTTTTGGTACACTGTGGTAAGCAATAGTCTGCGTAAAACAGTTTCTACGGGGCTTAGTGTTGGATTACGGTAATCGCCCACCATACCTGAAGTAGTAAGCTATGTACGGCCTCAGTGGACTAGACGTGACGGCGCAGTGGTTTCATCGCTATCACCGGCGTGGTTTGCACCCTAAGGTTCGAGCCAGGGCCACCCAACTGTGGTGGTAGACATCCAATTCAATACCACGCCTAACTTAGCGAGACCTTATGTGGTTGGCCACTCTAAGTTCCGGGGATTAGGCTACCGGTTTACATCACTGAACAGCAAGTCTTCGTAACTACGGGGTCCCACCCCGTCTGCTGTTCATTACACAAATGTGTGATCAAAATATCAAGTCAGATGACAGCAAAGCTACTTACCACCAAATTTGGACAACAGTTGCGGGATACCAGCCTTGAGCTTAAAGGCTCGTCACATGCCGGTGTCAGTGATTTGAACCCCTCGCAACACCTGGTGACCCAAAGAAAATGTGCGTTAAAATACCAATCCCCCATAAACCTGTCGAATGAGTTGTTGAAGCCATTTATTGACAGTTCTTATTACTAATACATTCCATGCACACCATGTGTAACCCAGTCCATGTTGCATTTAACGGTGGTGTATGTGTACAAGTCAGTCATCCAGCAAACTCACGACGATTTGACCTCGTAGCTCATGATCCTCAAGTCCATATTTTTCCGCCTCAGAATCAACCATTGTTGCTCAGTTTTGTCTGCAACTTGAGAATACTATACACTTCTGAAGAGCTCACATTCATGCAGAGAGTTTTCCGAAGGATTGCTGACTGGAATCCCAAATTTAACCTCAAAGCCTCCAGCAGTTATAGGAGTGTTTAATTGGAAACTGGGATCATTTATAGAATGAAGTGTACATTTAATTTGCTCACGTAACTGGAGCAATTGCAAATGTGTGATGTTTCTTCTGATCAATTTTCGAATCGTGCTATCACTCTGTTCGAGGCTGATGTTCATGTCCATATACGTAATAAAGCAAATGGGACATGCGCAGACACAGGTTTAGGCCTATTCAGTACTCACAGAGTTCTTTCATTACGTTCACTTTCTTATTTCACTCTATTTCTCTGTTGTTAATAATCTTACATCTTCCTGAATCTCCGCACATCGTATCCGATTGTTTTCTATTCTTGTCACCAGATACTCCTTATACGTCCACTAAATGCGTCATTCACAATCGAATTCCATCATACCCGTCTAGAGACTAAATTAAATCCTAACACACGATCCGTTGATGATGGTTTGCCAACAGCAATCTTTACCTTGATATTCCGAATAGTTCGTATGCATAATTCATTCAATTTCCATTTTTCATGACAGTAGAGTATAACAGTTTAATTCTCTTACTTCATCATGGTTTCCTTATTTATATGAGAGATTGGGTTTTAAATGGGACTCCAGATGTTTCACTTTCACTTTTCAGTTTTATCCGGCCCTGCTTCGTCATATTTCTGTCGATATATATATATATATATATATATATATATATATATATTCCTAGCTATTCATCCTAGCACCTTTAAAGTCACATGCTATATTTCCGGTTCCAGGGCAGTTTGCCATACCATCACGAGGAATGGATTCAAATTCGGTGTCGGCTGGAGGAATTCTTCGTTTCTGCACACGATATGTCAGACAAATTTGGCCAACTGTTCTGTTTTCTCGAACGTCGGTCGGAGCTGTGCACCGTGGTCGAGGCCAAACGAGCGCTAGAGGAGCACCGATCCATTCGTTTAAAGGTAAATCCCTCCTCCCTTTTTCCTCCTGTACATGGCTTATTCTACCCCCGGGTTCTCGTTCACCAGGTATCTTCGCGGAACTGTCAATTTCAATTTCCGTCAAACCACATGATCCAGTTGCACCACATCCGATCGCAGTCTGTTATACACAGACCCATATACAGACGAGAACTTATTTGGCTAGTACCGGGGCTTGTCCCTGCCGCCACTGTTGTCCAGTACAGCCCCATAATACACTGTGCCTCGGGTATCATTCGGGATTCGTCCGTGCATCCACCCTGACCCACAATTTTCCTTTACCAAAACGCTGCAAAACCGCTTAATTTGCTCAACTCATGGCTGCAAACCAAGTGAACACACTGAATACTCGAATGCAAGACCTTGTTTGTTAATCACTCCACGTTTTTCACGATACATGTATCGCAATCGGTTTGTATTTTCGTTTGATCAAGCCAATATTGGACACTGAGATGATCAAGCCAGGTCCGCCGACGATCAGAGCCATTTTGCACAATGCGTATACAGTTTTATTGGGATTTTCATGCCGGGCATATGGTTTCAGTTTCAGTTTTTACAACCATTAACCATGCACTTTCGTTCGCCGATTTTGGTTACTATCTTTTGGCCACCCATTTGGATAGAAGAGCAAGATGAGGATTGGATTGTCAAGAGCAAATTCAAGCGCAAGATGGGGCATATGAGGGACAGTTTGGTAGACTTTGTTACGCATGTTGGGCCGCTATCAGAGAGAGAGAGAGGGGCGGGGGTAACAGTTAACTGCTAGGAGGCTTATATTGCCCACCCTCGACTATAATCTGCTGCGGTTTGTTGCAAGTATGATGACAGAAGGACAGAACAGAAACTCATCCCTGGGCTAACACATTCGAGTTCACATGGACACTGTTTTTGCAAAGATGCAGATGTATGTAGTTGAATCGACAAGTGTGACTTCCTCTTGTCCACTGTTCTGTTGCGCTCTTGAATTTCTCGCTTTTCAATCTGTTCCTTAAACAATCTGCTGTATCGGGTTCAATCTGCAGATGGAATCGCACATCGCGCACATCTGTGTTATCCCGGTTGAGCCACTCAAACGATACTATCTATGAACTGATTTCTGAATGCATATGCTCTTTCGAATAGCATAGCTCATAATGTAACCCCTTGTGTATTCATTCTGGAAAAGTATCTGGCGCCCTTGGAAGATCGACTTAGAAATCGGGGGTATTCGTCTCCCATTTACATTGTATTGGTGATGAATTCGTTATCCGTTTTGTCTTTTTTCACGGTATGACAGCCTCTGTCGACAGTTATCATCAGCTAGTTCTGAATCAAAATTTTCTCTTGTGATAGTTCACCTTTATGCTTTTCCCTCACATCTGTTCCTAGATTGTCCAAGCTCCAGTATCCGCATTAGAAGCAGAAGCGGATCGTCTGATCACTTGGTTACGTTACGGTATGGCTGCGGCCAACTCATCCTCCTCATCATCTGTGAATGCTTCCGGGTCTTCAGGTACACCATCCTCTTATCCGGTGGGTGCTGGTTCAGGATCAACTGGCGCAGTGAGCGCTGGTGGTGGTGGTGGAGGTGCCTCTTTTCTGGCTACATCGTGGGTTTCCATGAATCCGGATTTTCAACAGGTTAGTTGTTCTTCGCTCCGTGTCTGTCGATATCCCAATAATTTTTGATTGGCCTGAAACGGTCTATTGGACACTTGAGTAATTAGGTTTTGCTCGCCCAACTTCCTAACATGATGAAATGAACACAAAGAAACCACTAGTTGCAATTCAATTCATTTAGATTATGGGATTGAACCCTGTCAGAAACATGCTTCCGTTTCACCAATACGGGAACTGTGGAATAGTACTTTCTCGTTTATATTCAGTTTCACCTCTAGGGGATTCTAGTGTTTGTATCACAATATCATTGGGGTATATCGGTATATAAACAACTCTGAAGGTTAACATTGTAAAGCACAAGACATCCGAAGTCATCATACTGTGTCCCGATGCAGTATGCACCACCAAACTGGCAGCAACTGGATCCGCACCGGTACTACTGAGACATATTGTATGATTGATTACACGAGAGGTCGTGATGCCCACTACAATTCGCGATTATCCATAGCATATAATGATTGGCCTACCTGATTGTGCATTGAACCAGACACACCGTCCCTCCGGCTGAAGCACACCGAATATCTGAGTTTGCGGGTCGCAAATCGATGCCCAGGTAAAAAAAGATAAAAGCAACGCATTCATATGAGGATGCAAAAGAGCTGGACAACGACCGATTCGGTTTCTGTGTTCATACTTTTGAATCGATATAGTAAAAGATAGATAGCTCTATCTGAACCTGCTTATTGCGAATAGTAGAATACAGCCTGAAAGAACTTTTTACCACCAAAAGTTATTCTGAGGATAATCTCTCATAAATTCGTACAATACCTCGAACGCTATTCCGTGTTCACAGTATTTGTGCCTGGGCGGCGTCTGTTGTATGCGGTCGGATTTGTGTGTGTGTGTGTGTGTGTGTGTGTGTTGGGGGGATTGTTCTGCCGAAGTACATGAAGGTTAGTGAGTGTTTATTGTGTGCGAAGTTTGCACATCACTGGAATTAACTGAGAAAGGATGCTGACGATTCACTTGACGTATTAGGACACTCATGCAAAATCGGGAAATCGAATCGGTTTGGTGACAGTCTCTCGTGTGGCACTATATCACCTACTTTCCCAAATCCATCTGTGATTTAATGAATACGTACATACGTTCCTTATTCTGTAACTGATATATAATAATTATTGTCATGCTCAATCATATATGGCTTAACTACTGATCAGCGCCGAAATACGACTTGTGTATGTGTCTGTACTCCTATCTTATTGTATTCAGTTATCCGTTCTCCTGAACACACCCCAATGTTAAAACTACTAATCGGAGACCGGACATTGTTGTTATCATTGTGTTGACTCATCGTTCCAGTCGTTGCCTTGCCGCCTCCCTCATCACCCGTTCTCAGTCTTCTATACCTTAGTTCAGTATGAGTCATAACTTGTCAGCGCCAGGGCATCAGTGATGAGGATCAAACATCAATGTGTTCAACTCCTTCACGTTCATATTTATCAAATTCCTGTCACCCCCACCCAAATCGGCCCACCTACAGAACCCCGCGTATTTTTGTACCTCGCTTCGTTTGGGAAAGTTAGCTATTGTTATTGGAACTGACGTAGACAGACAGAGTCGTTTTGGTGGTGACTGCAACTTGTGCATTCAGATAATTACCAGATACAGTCAGGATCCACCGATCGACCGAACATGTAGGGAATCTTTCAGTGACATGACTTCCTCATACAATCGACTGTCGTTTGACATTGTGCATTTTTCTGGTTTGCTCCAATTCATGGTGTCGATTGGCACTTGAACCACGCTCTGACCACGAATCCCAACTTGAGACCTGTGCAAAAGTTGACTGGTGTTTCACCGTTTTAACATTTAGAGTTCTGAACTCGCTTGTGGTTTTGAATATCATGTCAACAACGCAGAATGTATGGCGCTTTTTCGTTTCCAATCTCACGCCGCCCTCCGACACGTTTTTCGCGACACTTAAAAAAATATTATATCATTGTGACGAACAGTTTCCCTCCTGAAAGCTTACTTTAGAATTTCCTGTTTATTTGATAGAAGGTAACGATCAGAAGCAGAGCTGTTTAAGTGGTATGCCATCAGGTGCACACGGCTGGTCCATCAATCTAATTGAGCAACTGTTTGCTGTGCAGTATGACATTCAGTTTCGATTTGTACAACAGTTAAACCTGCATTTCCGTGCGGCGTCTTTAGGAGCCTGATGAAAAATATCCAGAATAAACAAAAGTTAAGATGTGTTATTTTCTGAATGGGCTGAGCCAATATGTACGATACATTCTGTCATATCTCTCTATGTTTCCAACCACTGATCACCGGAGATCAAGCACAATTTGTGTAATCCAGTCCACAAATTCGAGTTCTCACTGTCCGCATTCCAATTTGCATTTTGACTTTCTTTGTTCGTCTGCGAACTACAGCATATACTGTCAGAAAACATGACCCACCGAAGAAATCACCGGTCTTACTGTGCCTTGTGACTTTTACTCTAGACCGTCTATCTCCCGCTAAAGGATAAGTACCGATTTGAGAGTTCATGAAGTTTCATGGATATTTGGCGAGGGTATCGTCCGCAAGATTGCTCAGCTTTTTATTTGAAGCTATACATCTATCCTTTGCACAACCAAGTGTGACACGCAACACGGTAGGGTCGTTTCACAGGGATGTACTTGTATTCAAACCTTTCTAGTCGTTAGATGAAGGCTGCGATCTCGTCCACCCAGTTTGCCGGAACTGTTTAGCAGGCATTGGATAAGCTGTGAATTTTCGTATTCCGGAAAGAACCCGGTCACCTTTACTTACCTTAACCAAGCGGTAACCGGCTTTTGCCACATGCAAGCTAATTCGTGTAACCACAGATGAGAGTTGAGTAACCGTCATGGATCAAGGCAACGGAACATGGTGGGTTCCTAATCCAGAGTTGTAAAGACCATGTGAAACCCCGATATCCCCTAGCCAGTTTATATCTTAGTGGTGACCTTTTTACTGAGGTGATTCACGGGATATTAAAAAGCTGAAAAGTCTCTATCGCAATCGCGAGTTTATCAATAGAGATTTTTCAACAAAATTTCCGAATGTCCATTCACCTGTATCAGAATATGCCGGTACATGTTGCAATCGTACATTAACGTCCTCTATTTTCATCACCTCAACTATATGCACTTTTCTTCCTTGCTTCTTTGTTACCCTCACCCAGATGGTGCCGTTGGTTCGACAGACGGTGACCAAGTTATATGAATACCGAGCGCATTTGCAACAAAAGTGGGAGACTGGTCGATCGCGACTAGAACAAATCTATCAGCTACGCATCTTCGATGAGGATGCCGAACGAATGGCTAACTGGCTCGGTCAGCAGAGACATCTGTTTCTGACCGAATATCTGGATATTGGACAGAATGCCTCACATGTGAGTCTGTCCTCGTCTTACNCCCCCCCCCCCCCCATGGCCTTGATCACCGGCTGATGCGTGTGACACTTGATTGCCGACACACACAAACTGGATGACGGATCCGATCTACCTCCGGTTCTCTACTGTTCTCTCTCTCTGCATATATATATATATATAATTTGAAGTATTCACTAACAACTTTTAAATAAGGTGATGAATTTTTTCACCCACAAACCAAGGGGAGACAATTGCCTCAGGCTTTGTCCGAGTGCTTCAGATAAATCACTGACTACCTTTTCTTCTTAAAGTTCGCTCATCAGTCTCAGAATTTTCATATCCTCATTTTGTTTTGTCCAATGGTGGTTGATTGTTCATCTGACGAGCAAAAAAGAATTGGTTCTCTTTAAGGTTACTGTGAGGAAAGACTTTAATTTGAGCGTGACGCGGTGCTGTCCTGATGTAAACGTTTTTAAGAAACAGATAACAAATACTTTCTTCACATTTTGAATACAGATTATCAGTTTTTCTTCTCTTCGAAGCTTTACTGAATCCTTATGAGCAATTTTCTCAAATTTTAAAGAGTAAGCAAATTGCACACTGTTTATCGAAGGTCACTTATTTGAGTGTTCTATCGAACTGTGCATGATCTGTCGTATTTTGTATTTTTTATAATTACCCTAAGACCCTGGTGTGGTGAACAATAGACGGGTTAAATCCATAACAACAATAACTTATCGTTCAGTGTTTGTGTTGGAGGGTTCTCTTAGGTGGAAGTGTTTACGAACGTTTCATAGCCTGGCTACGAAATATCTGGCCAATCCACCAACATCACCATCCGCATCCTAAGCTTCAATTATTCTACAACATATCCAACTTGTCTTTCAGTTATGAAAACTGGTGACGTGAGTTTTGGGACTTGAAGTGACTACCTGTGCAAGGTCCCAGTGAAATAGACCTGATATTTAACCGTACGACAGCAAATTTACGAACTCCAGAAGTTGAATGGCGGTTAAAAAAATCCGAGTGTCTTCAAACTTATGGCTCGGGGCCCACCAGTGATCGCCTAACATCCACTACCGTCACCATGAAACCAAATTTTGCAAGATTAATTTGTGCGTATTGCTAACCATATTTTCTCGGATTGGAATACAAAGTTATCAGTAAATCTATTGGGTGCATTTCTGCATGTGATGTGGTGTCCCAGTGTTAATATAGCAGTTGAAAACTGTTCTCAAACGCATAATCGTTTTTGCTATCTACGCTTTTCTTCCTGTTGCTGTGTTGTGTCGTAGCAGTGGATAAACAACATGCTTATACGAGTCCTTCGAATTCAAGTGCCAGTGCACCATATTTTGTTCTGTCCCCCCGCCCCTCCTCGTTCACCCCGCTCCACGCACTCCAGGCGGCTGATTTGTTGGCTGAGCATCGCCAGTTTGTCTCCAGTTGTACGATCGCCTTCGAACAAGTGGCTCGTTTGAACGGAGTAGCTGGGATTCTGGCCGACGTGGGACATTTTGCCAGTCAACAGATATTAAAACAGGTTTGTCTGTGTGTGTGATGGTTCATTTCTCTCACTTTTGTTTTCGTCATCACCTTTGTCCGGCACCGAATTCTGCGTAGGACCGTCACAAATTCACATTCAGTAAAGGAGCTGCAGTTTAACAATGTCTAACACGGCGTAATGACCAAGTCGATTTGATATCATGTTACGATGCTGTTGTGTTTTCAATACATACCTACGTCTCACGTTTGAAAACTGATAACCTAATCCCGGGAGCTTACAATGGAGAAAGACATAGTACGGTCCCTGTGTGTTTCAACACCCACAATCATTGTGCACATTAGATGCGAACATCTCTGATCACTTAATGGAAACGAATCACGCCACAAGTAAGTCGAACTCATCTAGTGTTATGTACAGAAGTCAATCCGCGTTACAACCCGGTGTAATTATCGCGAATACAACGTTCATTCCTAGAACGTACACTGCAACACGTCACGGTTTTTATTGGGTTTTATTGATCTCAAATTTTGGCTTTCCATCCGGGTTTTCCTATGCAACAGTCTCTCGGGATTGTCTCTGCCAACGTTCTGGTAATTTTCCTTTTCAGGCTGGCCAATTGGAACATGAATGGAAATCGTTCGCAGCCGCATTAGAGGATCGATCCCGTGTGCTGTGTCTGTCAGCCAGCTTTCACTCACGAGCCCAATCGTTTTTGGCTAATTGTCAGCATCGAGAGACCGCCATGCGACAGGTGAACGGGTCCACGGTGAACGAGTTGAATCAGGCGTTGCTCACACTTCAGGTAAGTGGATCAATTGGTTCTAACCTGCATTATTGTATCATATGCTGTTTGTACACCGGGTATTTGAGAGCTAGATATGGGCGAACTATTTTAGCCCAAGCACCTCGGGATGGCTTTCTATCGAATTACCACTTGTGTATGACGAAATACTTATGATTTAAACTGATATTTCGATGTCGGATTTATGCAGATTTAGTTTAGTATTAAAAATATCTAATCAAGCAGGTGTAATAATTTCTCCTCACCTATCCGTTCTCAAACCATGAATAATTTTGCCACTTTCAGAACTATTGGCAAGAAACGCAATCCGCTCACGAAGAGGTTTGTGCCGACGGTCGTGCGCTAACTGATCATTTGAGCGCACCTGTTCCAACCGGCTCGCATACATCATTGACCGCTGCAGTTGACTATTCTTCTGGTCGAAAACATTGTACCGATCTTGTTCACGAAGTGAGTTTTATCATTTCAATATTTCCATTATGTTCTACCCAGATCTCTGCTGTCTGATCTTGATCCATTGCCCACAATTCTGGTTGTTCACATCAGTAGACTGTCAGCACCAAACCGGCAGAGCACTGTTTTCCAATTAATCTTCAACTATATCGGTCTGTTCTATTGATGCACTGCTTGTATTCGGAATCAGCGGTGTTTGCTGGATTTTGGATGTTTTCTCCAGTTGGTTACGCCCAAAGAACATGATTTGCCGTCCACATGACAGTCAGCTTTCTTTTTTACATCTTGCAAGGCTAGTTTTAACAAGTTCTAATTGAACAGTCTACTTTTGGACACGCACCGGCATTTGTTTTTCTGACCTGTTTGCCTCCTTCCCAATCGATATCGTTATTCCATCGTTCTTTCCATCCAATCTCCTGTTCTATTAGTAGTCATTCAATCAAACCATCGATCAATCGCGGTTCCATACGCAGAGGCTTCCAATTTGCCAGGTCCTCAATTGAAACCTGGTTGCACACTTGCCTTTGCACTCGTACTCCACTCACCCCTGCTCGCACGGGTTATTTACTAGATTATCACATCCTTCAAGGTGTGACGAGGTACGGATCTTCAACTTTCTTTGTTCCTCTTCAAGGAGTTCCTATATCGCACGATTCTCGTCCACCAATTTGATCGATCAACGGTCGACATCTCTGAGTTTGTCCCATGGTTGACTAGTATTCGGTGCCGAATTACTATTCAAATAAACGATCGCATTGTACCAATTAACTTTGTGTAATAATCAATTAAATACCCCATTCCACCTAAATTACTGCATCCTTCGTGTCAATCAGCGTGTTGTAGGTGTGGTTATTATCATTGTACTCTTTGTGTAAATCAAGACGAATAACTCGTTTCTGATCTTTCCGCAATCAGATTTGGGCGTGGTACAAGCGTTTGGAGCGAGTCTATACGGAGCGCAAATCGCGTCTCACCTCCCGATTGTCGTTACTCATGTTCAAGGAGGATGTAGGACAAGTGTTAGCCTGGCTGTCCGAGCACGGAGAACCGTTCTTACACCGCCAGACTGCTGTGGGCAAATCGATCCAACGAGCGGAGCAATTATATAATACGCATATGCAATTCGAACAGGTCAGCAACGGAACCCGATTAGCCTGACTGAAATTTCGTTGTGATAGCATTAACAGATGTTCGCTTTTATATCTGTTTAATGTAACCACTGTTTGCACGGTTATGTTGTGACATGCATGTGGGAAAACTGTTCTTTGATGCTACCAGTTCATAGAGGTAACATCGGGATGAATGCTTAAAACTACTGTGCTTAACAATTATGACGGAACTACCATATTCAATTTTGGTGAAACTTATCATCCCAGCCTGTCAAAAAATCATGCTATTTTTTATTGGGAGGAACACAAAATAAACCAGTAGGCTGCAAACAGGCAGCAACCAGAAATGGTACACGGAAGTACATCTTTAATGAGTGTAAAAACTGGGACTGAAATGAACCAAACTGAATTCAATCAAAATAATGATTGTAATTCCTCACTCTGCTAAGTGTTTCAAATTGGACACCGACCTTGCTTCTTTTCTGATCAATTTGGACGATGATTCTCCATTTCTGTCATCAACCCAACTGAGTATCCAATCACTGAACTCAGGCAACAGACATTCAAAGATAGGTGGTGTTTTATCATGTATACACAAGATGAAACGTAATCAGCTCTGGTGGTCAAGTGGTAGCATGTTTATGTCTTGTCTGCGAGGTCGCGGATTTGATCCTCAATCGGGTCATTGAATGAGCACTGCGAATGAGACCCAACATGGTATATATGTATCACACATCTGGGGCAGGACTATGTACCAGACAAGTCACGGCACAATATTGCCGAATAGTGCCTGGTCGTCCAGACCAAAGCAGGTGAATTTTCTTGGGGAATTCACGAACGGAGCACTCATCCCCGACAGTATTGAAACTTCCTTAGGCAAGAAGGTTAAAATAGCTGTTCAATGTAACTCCCATTTTTTCAGATCACACTTCGTTTCACTTAAATTGTTCACTTCTCCTTGGTACATCGAGTTCAGATTGAAAACATTAATTCCACTTGCGAACTTTCATTGTTCCACCTACTTTGATTATTGATTTAACTTGGAGTTGTTTAGTATAATGTCGATTTCCTCAATGTCTGTCACTAACTGACTACGCTGGCTTGTCGATATATTGAAAGGCCTGTAAACTTTAGTGATGCTGCTTAAAGAAGCTCGAGGCTGGCGTTGGTCGTGCAGTTTCCCGTTCGTTGTTCTTGATATCATATTTCAGTTATGAACCTCCTTTTACCTTCTTAGCGAAGTCACCATTGAAACTTGAATGATTCCTCGTTGGATGTTTCATAATTAGTCCCCCCTGACGTTCTACACCGCTTCCGTTTTCAGTTTGAACAATCAGTGACTTTTTGCTGTCTTGTGGCGTTTTTGTTTCTGGTTGTCTTTTGACTAACGATTTGTTCGAAAAACAAAAACGAAGACAATCAAAAGGTTAAAAAGCTGAGAGCACTACCGAACTAAATGTACAGAAAGCGAAAGAACTATGTTTGCACAGAAATTCAGTAGATACAGGAACTTCACCGTCAAATCATATCATTCAGTTCTCCTTCACTTCGTTTCCACGATTGTCTGTAGAGGAATTCCTTCCGATGGCCTGACTGCAATGGCGTAATACTCTTAATCTAACTTCGGAATTGCTTGTCTGGTTGTTCCACGAAACTGTTGCTTAGCGGTGTTCGTGCACTGAAAGTCCTGCCCCATGTAATGGTCAAAACCACTGGAACGTACACCAGATCTTTTGCAAACGTTTTGGTGACATTCGAACTGACGAAAACTCGTAATCATAGGGTTCATTCCATCATCCCTTAACTTGTTTTAACTTCCTAGCACGTTACTTAGCTCAGAGCACTATATAAAGGCGTTCGCAAAGGGAATACTGTATGCGGAGTCATGTCAGTTTTTATTCTGTTCCGTTTTGTGTTCGATTCTGACGTGGTTATCGATAAGTGGTCATCGGAGCCGCAGCACTGAAGAGTGAAACATATTGATGAACGTTGCTTTCCGACCGAAAGTTTGAAATTTTCCGCTTGTTACTCGACCGCATTCGTTGTCTTGGAAGTTGTGATAATGATGATTGGAGTCAGAATAAATTATTCGTTGAACACTTTGATGTCTGATGCATTTTTAAGTTAGAATAACAATGGACTGCAATCCATTCAGTAGGATGTCATATTGCGAGTCATGCAACTTCTTGTTGAAGAACGAATAATTTCATTAGTTACTTACCTCCCCTCATCTAACTGATTCTCCTACCCCCACAATCATCCTCGCTTCAGGTGGCCGCCAAAACACTGACTAATGCTGAAAAGTTAATTTCCGTCACCGAAGAGCTGGCTGCACAAGCTGATGACCCCGAGGAGATACTTCAAGTAAGTCTGCTCGCCCAGTTGAATTTTTCAAATGTGTATCGTTCCCGGTCCAAATCTTTTCGATCCATTTCTGTTGTTAGGAGTTTATTACGGCTTGTGTGATCTTTATGCTTTCACTGTTTTCTTTTTTCTTTTATCAAATTTGTGGTTTCTGACTAATTGTAACGCTTGATCTAGAGTCTATCGATTTGGTCGAGCTTATAGCGTTGTTCACCGATTGTGATTTTATGGAATGTATTTGTGAAATCCTCATTTAGAAATAACCTATCGTACCGTATTTCCCCCCCCCCCTTCTACCATTGGCTCAAGCTTTCCCCATTTTCAAACGCAGGGCAAAATAAACAACTTAACCTTACGTGTACAGCCCTTTTAAACTAGCATCCACGATGTGTTTGACTAGTTTTAAGCGTGAAAATATGCGACTTTTTGTTCCTATCGACACATGTTCTTCATTACGGAAGCTCCTACAGTGTCTTTGTTTCTTTAAGAATTGGAATCCACGTGTACCATTTAAATTTTGAGGATAGGTGTGCTATTCCGGCACACGTCCCATGGTCTGTTTCAACAGACCCACCTTCCGAGGCGGAAGTCTGTAAGGAAATCCAAGCCTTGGGACGTCACA